TGTTGTTGTCGTTGTTGTTGTTCGTGGTGTTGGTGTTGGTGTTGTGGCTGTTGTTAGTGTTGAAGGTCGTCGCCGTTGTTGTTGTACCCACTATGACGACATGTGATTTATATTGGTATGTTTATTGAGTATCATGTTTGTGGGTATAACCGTTCTTACGAAACAACCTTACGAGTATCATTATCGGTATGAGCATCAGGACCAATATCAATATCAGCACCCCCTGCTCGAAGCAGCTTGGAACATCGAAGAATCTTCACACTGTCTCTCCATCTTTCTCTCGCTCCCTGTCTTTTGCTTGCGACCTCGCATCTGTGGCAGGGGACGACTACTCTGCCGGGCAGGCCAGAGCCGCAATTTCCACAGGAACGGACGCTGTCATCGTGTCACCTCTGCGCAGCTTACCAATTCACGGGCGGAAGCGAGGATCCGCAAGAACTTGCGGCAGAGCCGGCTCCTTCACGAGCCGAAGAGGTGACTGTACGATCCTGCACATTGCTGAGCTGCATTCCTGTCTTGAAATAGTGGCATTGGCAGGCAACGACTACACGTCCGAGCATGCAAGATCCTTCAGCGCCAGAGGAACGGACATCGTGATGGGTACCAAGTCGTTGCTGCCATCCATGGTGGCTCGCGAGGACACACTAGACCCCGAGCTGAACAGGGCGGAGCGGTACAGTGACCAAGAGGCCAAATTGAAGAACTGGTTTCGGAGAATCGCTGTTTATTGAAATCATGCTCTCATTGCGGTGCTCCAGGTGGGTCAGTTCGGTGGCAGACCAGTGTTTGCCCGAATGCATACAATAAATGCCTTGAGTCAACAGCGCGGAGGTCCTCCGGGCACTGCAAATCTCTGCCGGCGACAGCCGCCGAGCATGGAAGGCACATCGCTCAGCAGCATATCCTGGATTCCCCGCTAGCGGCTTGTGGCAGTCACTGCTCTCAATGTTCATTGTGTGTTGTTGAAAGAGCAGGAGATGGACAGAATCGCCGGAGCCCGTGGCTCAGTGTTGTGGGATGTTGTGGGTTTGCAAGAAGTCAAGCGCCCATGCTTACGCGCAGGCTTGCCCCGTACATGTATGTAGGTGCATATACATGCAGAAAAGCATCCTTGCATGTATCTGTATGCCCGGACACGTCTAGAGATAGAAAATGTAAAGGCTACAAAGTCATCAGGTCGGCGAGCCTTAGACTGTTTTTTACTGTGTGCATTTCACTGCGTTCGGAGCCTCCTTGAGCCCTGAGGCCTGGCTGGCCAGTGTGCCGCAAGAAGCGTGGGCCAGTGCAGCAATCATGTCCTGAGACCGGGCTGACCTCTAGTGCGTGCCACTCCGATCTTGCGCATCCCAAGCAGTCCAGCTCGAGGAGATTCGTGCGCGCTCGATGCGCCCCAGGAACGAAGCTTGGAATGCCCACCTTGGGTCAAAAGAATCTGCATGCGATGTTACGCGGTCAGCAGTGGGTGCTGTTGATGACGAATTCTTGCGCAGCTGAGACTTGGTTTGCATCTTTGTCCATGCTGTGTGGCCCACAGGGACTTTGTCGCGAGTTGTGGAATTGAGAGTCTCGAACGTGACCGTTACCAGTCGCTCTTAAATTACACTGCATAGAGGAAGCCCATTTCTTCGGGGCCGCTCAAGGCCTCCAACTGTGGCCAAACACACTCTAGGCTTACATGTGCAAACATACACGCACAAGAAAATGCATGTCAGCGGCTATCTGCTGTTAGGCCACCTCTCGCAATGCAGTTCTGCCATGGCGGAGGACTTGCAGACTCAAGCTCTGCTGCACAGTCACCGCATAGCATCTATGCTGAAGTAAGGTGCATACTGCTCAACAGATCAAAACGACTTTGCCGCGCAGGGCCGGCACTCACGAGGATTCACATGATAACATTCAGTTTCCGGACAGTCCTGGCAGCTATGCTCCATCTGACCCTTTTCTTAAGACGCCTGGTTGCCTCGATGATCTGGTTGTTTTGTTTCCAAGGAACGAGTGCCAGACGGCACATACATCTGCCGGCTGTGTGGTAAAAGGCCAAACGGTCTGGACCAGGCCAGGACGCACCTAGCATCTGCTGCGCACCATGAGAAGCTCTCACAACATCGGATGGCACCCCAGCCGCAGATGAGCAGAAGAGTCAGTACTGTACTGTAGCAAGCGGCAGTACGAGGAGTAAAGATTTCTGACAGCATCGGATTCGTTCAGGAGTGGCAGCTGCCTGGTGAACTGGATCGCGAAATCCAGCGTGTTGCAGCGAGCTTGACAACACCTCAAGAGCGCAGTGTCTCGCCCATTCGTTCGCTCACATTTTGCACGGCCTGCGTGAGACGAAGCTGGCAACTCCGTAACATCTTGTTGCCCAACATAGTGCCAAGGCTGCAAGGTGCCTCTTCAGCTTCTACTGCTCATTACTTCTTGCTACCGTAGCTAGTGCCGCCACGAACACTAAATCTAAACGATGACGGCTACCACCACGAAGCAAACCAAAGCCTCCAAGCTTGAACCCTGAGCCGAACTCCGACAAAGCCACAAATGCTTCTCCAAGCAGGCAGTGCCCTATCGGAAGCCTGAACTTGAGCTTATTCAGTTGCCCCCCCCCATTCCGCAACAGAGGCACCTATGAGGTCTGTCAGCTGAGTTAGTCTGAATCCGAACCCCAGCACCCTACAACGAGGCTTCTCATGCCAATCAGGAGTAATCTGGGATTTGCTTCTGCTGCTGCTGCTACTGCTATTGCCATGCGACTGCAATGAGCACAGGTCACCTTGGCCAACTCTGCGCATAGGGTCAGCACAAGGCTGCGATGGTGCATTGTTCTCGCGGAAGATGGTTCGGAGCAACAGTGCCTGCAAAGGCTTTACACTGTCCTTGGCCTACAGGGTACAGAAGAGCTGGATGTGAGGCTATGTTTCGCCGATATTCGTCAAACCGACGGTTACTTCCACGGGAGCTTTGCAAAGAACACCTCGCATCGTTTTGGCATTGAGTGCATAGACCCTCAGGACGGTGACCTCAGTCAGCACGTGCTTGTCAATCTGGACTGCGATATCGTTTTGCCGCCAAGCTTTGCTGAGTCGGTGCTTTCGAGATTTAGGTCACGAACTTTGCAGCTGTTGGGGTGCCGAGGGAAGCAGTCCGCAACGACTGGTCGACTTGCGATCCGTGCTTCGGCTTTCAAACAAATCAATGGCTACGACCAGGAGCCAGGCATACTTGGTTCAGGTTTTCAGGACGTAGACTTGCGCGACCGTGTTGGCATTGCACCATTTGCTTACGATGGCTCAATTGTGTGCGAGGGGCAGTCGGACATCGCGCCGGCAAAGTCAGGCGTGGTAGAAAGGTTGCTGAACGACCATCAGGCAACGCATCCAGCCGTGGCTGGCTGGGCATTGCCGAACACTTTGCACGAATATGCCACCGTGGAGGACGACCGGAAGCTGGCGAAGATTCATTGGGTGTACAACCCTGACAGTTTGAGCTGGGATGACATGAATGAATCAAACAGGGCGGCCATGCTGGCCAAGCGCAACCGACCCGCCCCATGGGCTTGGAAGCGCAACCTGCAGTTCTCGCAGCTGGGGTGGCCGTTTATCGAACTTCGCCGTGAGCATCTGCAGCTCGCAATGCGCAATCCAGGACGCATCTTCCATGCCACGAAACCGCTTCTTCGTCAGCCGCCTGCAAGCATCGGCTCTCCTCCTGACTTCACGGAGGAGGCTCTGAGAAGTTGCTTTGGACTTTCGCAGCTGTCAAGTATCTATCTGTGAAGGTTGCAGACGAGAGGTGGTATGTGCGTGAGTTGCAGATTTATCCGAACCCGAACGCCCAGGACACTCTTTCGCAGCCTGAGCTTGTGCGCCGTTGGCGTGCTTGTGCTTGCTGTACAGAGTTCATGCAGGAGCTCGACCAGCGGGCAGCTGCGTGTGGCTCAGTCATGCTCAGTCTCCTCAAAACCGATGTAGATTCTTTCTTCGTTCGATCTTCTGTTATTGAAAATTTCTGTTGATCAAGGCCTGGATGGTCGAAATCCCTGAGACAGCTTGGGGTCCCTCGCGGGATTTCTGAGGCCTAGCGAGCAGGAGTCTGTTTAGCATCCCTCGTCCGCGTACCTCCTAATATACGTCCACGTGAATCTACATCGGTCCAGACCATCTAGATTCCTAGATATTCGGGCACGTTGTATGCCAGACTCCGTTACACCTTGACTAATTCGCACGAGTGAAACTTGTCATATGTGTGCGTGTAATGTCCGTATTTTCTTTGTATGCAAGTATAGTTTATCTTTGAACTGCTGTGCCTCCCTCATTTATACATGTAGTTCTTGATGCCTGATAGTTTCTGTATAAACCCGCTGTTTGGGGGTATGCACCCAGCCGCCTATCCGCATACCCTCTGTGCAGGGATCGGAACTCTGTTGGGAGAGCTGGCAGGTGCATCCTTTGGAAAGCTACGCAGCTGATTTGCTTCTTGGCAAGCATATCGTACGACAAATTGAAGTCTGCTGTCGTCAACGTTCAATAAATCTGTCGAATAACGCACCGTCTGAGAACCAAGGCACAAGGACGCAAAAGACACTGGGTCCGGTCGAATCTTCGGCAACTTGGAAGACCTGACCGTTGCCTGACGACACACCGGCGGCCTGACGTGACTGGCTCCGGCCCACCCTTTACAGGGTCTCGAGGCTAGGATCGGGGTACGTCTACAAGTGGACCTGCAGCTGCCCCCCCGTAAGACCCCCCACCACCTCNNCCCCCCCCCCCCCACCCCGCCCCTCCTCGTTCTCGTAGGCCCTAGTCCCGAATCCAAGGTGAAGTCGGCATGCAATGTGACACTACCCTAGTACTAGAGAAGCAGTCATTCAAAGTATAATACCAACACCACCAGCGCACTATCGGCATCATCATCCGCAGCATGACCGCTGTTATCATCATGTATGTTCATGTTGTTTTCGTCATCACCATCATGACCAGCATCACCATCCACCAGCACCACCACCATTACCATCATGTCTGAATCATCATGAACATCATGATCAACCTCATATCCTTCATAGGTCCGCCGTAGAAGGGTTCGGAGCAAAAAAGTCGCCATCATCACCGCCCTGATGATGTGCTGGTTTCCTCAACTTGACCATTCAGTGACACGGTGCCCAGTGTTTTTTGCCCAACTTGACTCGACCAGGCGATGGCACTTTTCGGTGCGACAGCGGAGAACTCGACATCGGGAAGCTGACGCTGCCACTTGGTGACATAGACATGTGGCTCTTTTGCCTGCCACCAGCTGGCGCTGTGGCCTAGCGCCTCCCGGCGCCGAAGACGTTGCCACAGAGCGCTCCTGTGCCCACACATTGGGCTGCATTTGTTGCACATGACACGCTCACCCTTGTAAGCCTGCGCTGAGGAAGTTTCTGGGCGGCTTGAGACCGAGACTCGTGGAGATGGGCCAGTCGATGATCTCGACCGTCGTGGAAAGATCAAATCGTGTCTTGCTCGCTTGGCTTTTGGAGACGTCTTTCAGTCTCGCAGCTTCGGACTGACCGTCGGACTGCGGTATTGCTTGCAGGTTGGATGACGGTTGGAGTTGCCTGTATTGTAACATGCCAGCCCAGGCAGAGTCCAAGGCAAGAGTCACCATACCACATGTGGCTGTTACTGTTCACAGTATCATCCTAAACCCTACAGTAAATCCTGAACCCTAGACCCTACAGATCTGAAAATACGAAGCTGTCCTTCATCAGTCTAGATCGCCAAGCTGGAAACGGCCGCGGCGCCTGCAAAACTTACAAGCGTCTCGACAATTGCCGGTAGCCGGTACTCCAGCTTTCAAGCTTCGGCCTTCTCACCCCAAAGACTGCATGGACTGCTTCCTCAATTCGATTTCCTGATGCTTGGGCTTTGGGCACAGGGCATGGCACTGTGTCCAACATTTCGACAGGTTGATGGAGGAAGGCCTTCCGAACCTGATCGCGGGGTGGATACAGCCGGGGCTTTGCATTTGTGGAATGGCTCGCAGGACACCGGCTTTCTGGGCCGTCGGTAGCAGTGTCCTTGGCTTGCTGGTACGTTCACATGTTTCCTGGGTCTCCCTCAAGCGAATCTAGATGACTCGCGTGGAGTGTCGGTGTTGGGCCAACGAGCAGGATGCAAGCACATAGAGGTCGCCCCAGGACATGGAAGGGATAGCGGCCGGAATTCCCAAAGACAGTGTGCTAGACCCCAGGAAACCTGGAACTTTGAGCTTTGTGGGACCTGGGGCCCTTTAATGCCTTGGGACCTAGTGTGAAGGACTGAGCGAGTTTGGCGATAACAGCAGGCATTTTCCAGATCGATGCTTGGCAGATTCAGAGTTTACCATGGTAACACGTCCTAAGTTCGATGGGTTGCCTGGAGATGTGTTCTTTTCATGGGGCATGGGATGCCCCCTGGGCAAATCATGCGGAGAGCGCTCGCACGAAGTCGTCCATGCTGGGGATATCGGGAAAGAAGAAAGACACTAGCCACTAGCCTCGCGAAAAGGCTGACTGAGGCACGTACCTCTTCCAAGAAGATGTAAGGTCTAGAATCCCTTGCCCCCAATGCTACGCGGATTGTCGTTTCGCAGTGGGGAGTGAAGGATTCACTGTAGTAACCCCGATGAGGCCACATGTGCCTTGCCTGCGAACTATGGACCATCCTCGCCTGCGTTGCCCGAGTTGCGAGAGTCTATTAAACCTGGGAGGCCTCCCCGCCCCCAATAAAAACTCGGAAAGTGCTTTTATTCCTAGGGGTTATTTTCATTTCTACTGCCACTGTTGAGGGGTCGTGCTCTTGCTCCTGCTCTGGCTCTTGCTCCCGCGCTGACTTTTGCTCCTTCTGCTGCGTCTCTTGCGTCTGCTTCTGCTCTTGCTGTTGCTCCCGCTTTTACTCCTGCTCTTGCTCTTGCTCACGCTCTTGCTTTGGCTTTGCTCTTGCTGATGCCCCCGGTTTTGCTCTTGCTCTATCTCCTGCTCTTGCTCCTGCTCTTACTATGGTCTAAGGGTATTTGGAGCCTCGAAACCTCCCCCCCTAATTCAGAATAGGTGTTAAAGGGCAGGGATGATTTCGGGATGATACGCCCCAATGCTTGTTGATTAGGGGGTGTTTAATTAAATGGGGAAGTATTAGTTGTGAGTCATGAGAGTCGCAGGTTCGCGAGTTGACATGCGCCTTGAAGGGTGACTCAGAGCGGTCGAGATGAACGCAACCGCTGAAGCAAACAACCCATGGGCCAGGCTGTCAAGACGTTACTGCTGGGCCTCGCTGCATCTGGGCCAGATCAGAAAGTAGGAGGAGGAGTCTGGTTGAGAAAACGAGCTCTGCTTAAGAGGGGCTAAGAGCATCCTACCGAGAAACCTTGGAGCGCGCTGTGCGACTTTGCGTTTCAGGCCCGCCATCCCCAGCAGCCTTCGGGGAAGACTTCTTCGCGGATCTCCAGAGATCTTTGCAGGTTTGCGACTGGGTCGACACTTCGCCTCCGAGCTGGAAGCTGGGCTCTGGCTGCCGGGTGATGGGCCTCTCGGCTGAATCCATGGGCGAACTGCGTACACAGAAGCAGCAGTCCCAAAACAAGCATTCATCGCCGTTCATGTCATCCCATGTCCCAGTCATGACATGTCGTAGAACAGTGGAATAATAAGCTTCAGAATGATTCATGGCATATAATGAATCGGACTCAAGCGAACATCGGCGAGCCTCGGAAGGGAAAAGACTGCACCGGAAGCAAGCAGGTCGACCATATGGAACAGCACGATGGGCTCACGGACGAAAGCCCGTTTAGCTGGGATGAAATCCTGCTGATTCCTGCTGGGTCAGAAATCTCACAGTCTCCGAGAACTTCTCCGTAAACCTCAATTCCTTCCTTCTGATGACGGGATGACGCTTCTGAGCTTCGCTAGACCGTTAGACTTGATTGGACGGATTGGACGGTGCCTACAACTGTGCGCTACTGCTGCTCCAGCCCTCTCCTCATCTCAGAACAGCAGCAACACCCCCCGAGCGCCAACAGACTGTTAGAGACGCTCAGCATCGGTGCCTGAGGCTCCCGCAAGACACCATGGAGGAGTAGAGTACCTTGGCGAGGCCCTTTTCCGCAAACGCAAGACATTGCGACGCCAGAGTGGCGTTAAAGCACAGTCTTTTGGAGTCCCACATCACGGGCAGCTGCTAACGGCCATCGCCGAACAAGCCAGGAAACAGTGCCACAGTCTTCAATTCCCTCGTGATCACTGTGACCGTGCTGGTGTGTGGCCTTCGGATCCAGAGCCAGTGCTTCTCTGCAAAGGCAGCACAGATTTAGACGCTGCGACCACAGCGGGTAACTGGCAAGCCCTCGAAGCGTGGTGCCAGCGGCCTTGTTCGGAGCTGAAAGAACTCAGGAGGTGGGAGTTGTCTCTGGACGGACACTAAGAGGAGCTAGAGCAGCTCCAGTGGCTGAGGAGCTTCGCATCCAGAGAATTTCTTGAGGAAGCCGCGTGGAGGCTGTGGCCACCTTCCCAAGAGCGCAACCTGACTGGGGTTTGCTAGAAAAAGGTGCTCTGCCTGTTCGGTGTCTGAAGAGCCATGGACGCTGCTCTTTGATGGTGTCAGTCTCTCCGTTCCCAACATGTCCACTTTCCTGGCTCCAGCATCACCGTAACGACAGTTTGTGGTACTAGAACCAGTGGGGCTGCACCGTGCAAGGAGGCGTGCCGAGTTAGCACAAAGTCTGTCAGCATGCACTCGGGCTTCTGCACGAGTATAAGTAGTAAAGGGAGAGCCAACACAGAATGGAGTGGCAACTGTAACCCATGCCATGACCGCCGCAAAGTACATGGTTGATGTCGGAAAATGACGATGACTTCAGCGCGTCCGAAGATCCGTGCATTCAGTTTGACGCATCGGAGGTTGAAGAAGAGCCCCGCAGTTTCGCCCCTCAGAGACGGGAGACGCGAACGCTCAGCGCGCGAACCGATATCCAAGTGAGACGCAAGCTTGAGCAATGGAATGCGACAAAGCAAATTCTTTCCTTGTGGCACTCCTACCTATTGCTGATCGTTGCTTGTGCGATTGCTTGCTCTGTATTGGTAGTCATACTTTTTTGGCACGTGGACTGGTACCGGACATACAGAGAATCAACCGACGCGTTGGAGTTCCAGCTACACTTCCTGGCCACGTTCATCAAAAGCTGGCTGCTAGTAAACCTTGGTAGCGAGATCTTGCGATTCTGTTTCCTGTTGGCAGTGGACAGCTGGCGCAACTTGGCAGCGTGATAGTCGGACAAAGCACCCGCGGGCTGTTCTAGCTTTCTCGCAAAGCACGTTTTGTGGTTAGTAGTCGAAGATCGAAACTATAGCAGGGACCGTGAAGTAGGCTGTAAAGCATAGCATGATTTGGAACAGCCCCTCGGAACAACCTCCTGCACAGTGCGATACCTGGGTTCGTGCATGCAGTACTGTGCTCCAAGACACCTTGCTTTGTCCGCCCATTCCATTGATTCTCGCCACAACAATTGCCAATCTGAGCTGCACCTTGTTCCTGGTGTGGTTGCCGGTCCTTAGAAAAAAAGCAGTGCCCATGACAATGAGGTCATGATGTTTTTGAAGCATACCGGCGCTCATTGTGTTTTTCGTCCTTTGCAGAAATCTCTGCTGGAACATTTTATGTTTGTGGCTGGCCACAGCCGCTGGGGCTTTGCCGCAAGCCGCTTGGACCAGTAATTTGCAAAGGCACTCGAAGTTGCGCAACGGTTCGCTTGCGTTGCCTTCGTCAGAGGTATGCCGACGTGGTGTTCCAACTGCTGATTTACGGTTCCCTAGACGTGCTGCCCATCGTCATGCTTGTGCTCAACATAGTGACTTGGAGGACCGTTGACAGCTGTGGGATGTAGGTGACGAGAGTTTGTTGGCTGGAGGATTCACTACATGTTGGCCAGCTCGCTGTTAGTTCTTGGCTGTTTACATGTGGTGCTCTTTCTGATGGCCTGGACAATGGGCCAGCTGCTCGCAACAAGCTGTCCGTGTGCGTTCCCATAGTATCCCATGGTGCCGCAGTGACCTGAGGCAATGTGTCGCTAAAGGCCAGAGCTTTTTTGGCTGCGTGGCGACTCAGCCCGGCAATAGCAAGCAGGTGTTGAGAGAGAGACGGTCAGAAGCTTGCAATGATCAGACCCGTTTGTTGCCATTGATCTGCCGTGGCTTGACGGTAAACAAGGAACAGCAACATCCTCCGGGTTTCCCGGCTGGGGACTGGCACTCGCGTGTTGCCCATTGGACGCCACTGAGCTGCTACAGGGTTCCTGAAAGTCCGTGCTTCACTCTTGCCGCATTGGTAACATTCCGGCATAGTTCGTTTCAGGCTTGTCGCGCGAGACCACGCCGGCATCCATGCTGCCAGACCATGAAATTGAAAGCACCGTCGTGGCCGAAGATCTTGAATCTGATTCCAGCGACGAAGAAGAGAGCAGTGACGAGGAGAAGCTGCAGCGCAGACCTGCGATGGCTGCACTGGAATAAAGTACTGCCGACACGATGACAGATATATCGGGGAAGCATGCACTCGATCTACCAACAATCCCCTAAGCCATCCACCTTACCGAACGCTTCTGAAAGTTCAAGGACACGGGGCAGTTGCCGAACCAGAGCTTGGAGAGCCACGGTCACGTTCTGGTCAACGAGCATCTGGTAAAGAAAGCCGACGCAAGGTGGCAAGGGTGGCCTGTGAACATTGTGGGGAGGTTTGGGAAAGACGTGATATCTGAGGAGCAGCTGGCAGCCTGGAGTGGCGACAAGCCGCTTGATGTTTGCCGCTTCGGGTGCACTTGGTTTGAGGAAGGTGATGGAGGCAATATCGTATAGTACGTATGGGATGCAAGAGATACGAGAAAAACGGCCGTCGTGAGTTCGAGGCGTGCCTTGTTGCGCAGCTTACCATTTCATTTGCAGCGTGATGCCCCTGCTGCTGGCCCTGGCGGCGACACTCTATGGCTTGGTCACAAGCAAAGCCGCTGTCGTTGTGATCGGCGCCCAAGTGACCGCCATGATTATCACGCTCACGCACATAGGCATTCGAGCTCGCATGTCTTTTGACAGTTGCTGGTCTGCGTCTCCTTGAGATCCAATCAAGACTGGCCGTGCTCAGGCAAGCCAGTGATCCGCTCGAAGTGGAAAGACAGCTTTTGCGCCTCAGAGGCTCGCCTCCGGCATTTGGAGGAGTGGGGGGCTCCTCGGTCGCAATGGTTTTTGTGGGAAGTGTCGGCTTGGAGCAACCTGCAAAAAAAGCCCTTTGCATCTCTCAGGAGATGTTCTGTCTCTTGGCGCAGTTCTTGAAGAGCCTTCTGTGGCCATAGGTGTAGGGCCCTTCACTTCGTTGTTATCCGAGGCGGGCTGAAGTACATGTCCCAGCTGAAGGCACGAGCGCCTTTGTGCCTCATGGTCCCTCGGCCGACGGTGCCATTGTGTCATCCGCCTCGCCGCTTTCGCCACTTTAGGTCTTCTTCATGGGCGTTCTAGCTGGGGCTCTGGAATGGTGGTATTCCATGTGGTGCTGCTCATTGATCCTTTTGGCAGCCTGTCACACATGAGTGGCTAACTTCAGAACCGCTCTTCAGGGCGGCCAAGGCCCGATGGCGGAACTCCCGAAACCAGTAGGTGTGAGTAGCAGGAGTCGTGGCCAGCTTCCCTTGTTACTTGTACAATCTCTTTGTTTGGTTTACTTCCAAAGCACAAGGATGGCACGGACGCTAGCTGGAATGATCCACACCCAAATAAAACCAAGCACATCATCTATCCCGAGTTCCCTTCCTCGACAGACACAGGCATGCTTCTTTGCCCAGCTTGCGGTGCTCTTCCTGAAACCCTGGACCTGGTTGGGTGGAATTCTGGAGAGCTTCAGTTTGACCTTGTTTTGCATCTTGGATGCAACGTTGAGGGAGAGACAGAGAGGGGAGGAGCGGTGGGAGGCCTCGCTCTCGCATGGATCAGGTTTGCTTGTCTTGTGGCACAACCCGCCTCTCGTCGACACTGGCGCTATCGACTGGGCATTTGTGCTTGCTGGCTTTTGCAGGCACTACTTGATTGCAAGGTTGCTGAATCCGTGGCAAGATAGCCTTCTTTTGGGAATCCTCCTCATTCCGCGCGAGTTTGGCTTGCAGAAGCGGTTGGCAGCAGGAGAGCGGATACGGCGCCGTGGGCGGCACTGCAGTGAGGTGGAAGTTTCCGCTGCAAGAAGATGTCCATCGTTGCGTTTGATTTATGAGCCGAGGTCCTTGGCGCTGTTTGGACTAGGAAGTCTCCGGAAAGCACAGAGCTTGCGAGCTGGTCTTGTCCGTCAGGCTTACCTCGACGCGTTGCCCAAGGTTTCCTAATAGGAGTTTACAAAAAACCTTTTAAAGCGACAGTGTCTTGGAGCCCAGGCTTCCAGTTTGCCTTGATCTGTGCCCAGGCTTTGCAACAGCAATCATTTTTGAATCTTCTCCTGTGTTAGAGGGTTGCAGTCCCCACGACGCCGCCGCGCTGGCGAGCGTGCTCAGAACCAAGGCGTCATCTGCAACTGCATGGCTGTGGAGCGGAAATCCGCCACGGATTCTATGTTCTGCTTGATGGGTGACCCGAAGTGCGTGGCTTGGCAGCGTCCGACGTGCCGGCCCAAACGGTCCTACTCAGTTCAAGACCAGACTCGCTTTTCCTTGCGAAGGTCTATTATGCTGTCGACTACCGCGGTGCTTTGGGCGGCCGGTGGCCTCTTTGTCAGATGGATTTTCCAATCCACAACGGAGCAACGCTCTCATTAGAAGCTCAGCTGCTATCGTCGCTGCATGTCGGTATGGTTGCAGTGGCCCCTGACTTTGAATCTCTTAAATGCCCTTATGGCTTGTCTGGGTTTGGCGTTTCGCGGTTTGGGAAGAGGGGCTCGTGCTGGCGCATCCTGCATCATTGGCGAGCCTGTTGACAGGTTCGAAAACGATTGCGGTGAGCACTTGCGCAACACTGCAGCGACGTTCGACAACAGGGGCACGGGACGATTTTACACCGGGAAATCCTCCACTGCTACTTTAAGGCGCACCGTCGATACTGAACCGAACCTGAAAGAATGATGCATGCGACTGTGACACTGCAGTTGAATGAATTCTGAAAATGCACAAGTCGTCGGACATGAGATGGGGCGTCGGGGCATGTGTGCAAGCTTCTTCCTGTCGGCCGAGGGTCTGCATCTTAGGATTCTCTGCATGTGAATGTTGGGCTTGCACGTCACAGGTCTTATAGTTGCGGTTCTTTGAGTTTGGGCTTTTTCGCAAACTTCAATGATTCAAAGCTCCCGACTTTCCACAGCGATCGTTTGCTCCATAGCTTGGATGACTTAGCGTAGAAGCACAACATGAAATGGGAGGTCTCCCGGCCTTGTGTCAGCACATTGGAAACCGGGAGCAGCGAGCATGAGGCTGATATGGCTTTCCTTTCCATGTTGTTCTGCCCTGGTGTGGTATGCCAGTGTTGCAGCATGCATCACATGAAGTTGAGATGGTGGCATCTTTGTTGCTTGAATTCTGTCATTCCTGCACACGATCAAACGGAAGAGTTGAAGTGCATGGGGCATGGGATGGTCTTGCAGTCGAATTTGGGAACCTCGTTACTGGCCATCCCTCGCAACTTAATTTCCCGGACCTCTGAGGCCGACTTCGGTTTGATGTCTGCCTTCACCTACGACTCTTGGAGTGCATCGTCGGCCCGGGGGGAAGGGCAGGCACGGCAGACGAGGGTCACAGCAGGACCGCGAAACTCTTAGGAACCCGCAAACGACGTGCAGAGCTTGCTGAGCCAATACTTCCCTGGCTGGCGCGTCGCCTACGACCCTTAGCTCAATCCTTGGCTGGTCAAGCGTCGGCAATCCCAACTACGACTGAGGCTCACCTTCCGCTGGCTTTGAGGAAGGGGCAACAAGATGTCCCTGACGTCACCACATTCTTCGAATTCGCTTCTGCAGACAATAGTGTCTAGACTCTGTTTGGGATCGTCCCTGAAGTTTTGTGAGCGGGCCAAGTTAGTGCCCGGCTGGAGGTACCGCGGTTTTCGCCGTGCGCGGCACGACTGATTTCTTCGATGCATTACAAGATATGGATCTCTGGCTGCCAGTGTTCATGATGTATATTTTCGAAAACCTGGGCCCCAACGTCGCTTGGCAAAACTGTTCTTTGCTCCGTCTGGTGCAGCTGACGTGACGATTGCAACTGCTAGCATCAGGTTGTGAAGTTTTGGGGCCCCTCAATTGCCTGGATTTGTCGTCGCGTCTACATGCTGCAGGCTGTGCACGTGCTGTTGTGAAAGCTTTAGCAGCTATTGTTTCCCTACTACTAGTTACTAGTTGGCTGGGTGACGGTGCAGTGAGGCTGTGGACATCGCGGGTCTAAGAGTTTAAGAGTCAGGGGCGACCCGTTAGTTGAAGCTCTATGGGATCGCCATTCGTTGCATTGCGACATGCCTTGGTGGCTCCCGGAACAGCAAACCTGAAGAGAAGAACATCAAGAGTTTGTCGGTTCGAACATTGCAGGATGCCAGGTTCACCCTGACCTTTATGCACCTGCTCGAGGAGGTGAAAGCGCGAGCCTGACCTGCCAATGGCCGGAGGGGTTCCATGGTTTAGGATTCTCGGGCACTAATCACAATAGGCCGCTGGATGCAAAACAGGGCCTGGGACGTTTCGGGTTCAGGGTTTCGGGATGGGGGCCGTGTTGATGCTTTCACCGAGTGCCGTAAGGAATGAAGAGCCACCCGGATCGGAATTTCTACATCACTGGGTGCTTGGCTAAGATCAGCTGCAGGCCATCTAGCGGCTCTTAGGCACTTACACGCGCACCTGCAAGGCACTCTTTGGGCGGCGGCATCGCAAAGCTCGTTGCTGCCGAAGTTCAGCGAGAAGAGCTGCAACATGCAGGTGGGAAATTTTGACGAGGTTCTGTAGCGACCGTGCCACATGAGGTGCAAGGGCATGAGCCCCGCTTCATCATCATTCTATTCATCGTCTGTGGAATTAGTGATTGGTGTACTTTAGGAAGGAGATGTGCGCGTGCTGATTGTGTGGCCAGTGGTAGGTTGGGGTGATGGTGACGATGAATAAAGACTGGCGACTGAACAGATGGGCAGCAACAATAGTTGCGACAAGATGTGCTCGGTGAGGATACTGCAAAGGGTGGTAGTACTGCTACTCATGGCTAACGCAGTTTGGCGGAAGACTGTGATGCTACTGTGGTGACGTTGCTGTCAGTGTGGTGTTTGCGCTTTCCGGTGCTACTGCTTTCACAACAGTCAACAGCCTCCAGTAGATCACAATGCCCACGCCAGTGGTGTGCTCGGTTGGTTCTTGTCACTGTCCATGCATGTCTGATCTTGGAGCAACTCCCGAATGGATGTTTTCGTGTTTGTGGGTATTTGTCAATGCAACCAGGTGCAATAGCGTACAGTGCACAGTGCAAGGCCGGCATGTGGAAATGACTGCCGTGGCATTCGCAGCACCAGGCCTCCGAAGCCGAATTCCGAATTGTCATTATGTGGCAACAGTTGTAGAGCAAGATTAAGATATAGGAACTTTAAGAAAGACTTTGCATCCACGACGACATGCTTGGGGGTGCACGGCATGTGAGTCCCAAGCGAGGTATTGGGGTGGCTGAAGCCCTGCTGTTCGGCGAGGACAAGCTGTCGACGAATCGCTACACCTCAGTCACGGCAACCCGCCGGAAACATTCCGATTCACTGCAACTAGTACAGCGCTTCAATCAGCTACCTACGTAGTTTAAGCTGCGGCCCGTCGGACAATTCTCCACGGAAAGAGAAAATCTGCACATGCCGTCCATCAAGCATTAATTCAGCGACAGCCTGTAGAGTGTAGAGATCATGCCTCGACGAAACCCCCCCTGACAACGCTTTCGGCACAAATGTAAAGGGCTGTACATCGTAAGGCCGGGTGGGGCCTCGTAAAGGCCGCGTAAGGTATAGATTGAGGAGCATAAGCTCTGCACTTTTCAGGGCCCGAAACTTGTCTTAGGGTTCTTGTTTGCTCAGGTTTGCATTGTCTCATTCAATCGGAATCTGTGTCTCCGGGTTCTTGTTGGCTCACGTGGGGTCTGCTATGTCCTGGGGTTCTTGTCTGATCCGGCTTGCATGGGTACTGCGTTGCTCTTCTGCTCCGGCTTGAATCGCATCTTCTGTGGGAGTGCTGCTCGTTTGCTCAGGTATGCTGTCTCATGCTGTCCTGCTTCCTGGGCTTCTTGTTTGCTCCAGTTTGCTTTGTCTCATTCGGTTCGGAGTTTCGTGTGGCGTTTTTTCGGTTAGCTCCGCTCGGTCTCACGGAGTCTCACGTTGTCGGATCCTCTGCCCCGAGTTTCTGGTTTGCTCTGTCTGAATTTTCTCATGCACCCTTGTCCTGCCTCTCGTGTTCGCTCCGGCTTTCTCTCACGCGGACGGAGTCCTGTGTCCTGGGTTTCTTGTTGTTTTTTCCTCGCTTTCTTTGCCTCATTCTGTCGGAGTCCTGTGTTCTCGGGTCGGTCAACGCCGGAAGCAGCACAACAAAGCACAACCACAACAACAGCCGGCGCAATCAGTAACTACAACACTACTACGGCAGAATGACGCAAACAACAGCAGCCGCACTCCTTATTTTTAGAAGTTGGTTTTTTTGTTTGGTAAAGTTGTTATGTGACCAACAATGTCTTCGCTCCCAGCACTCAGTAACTAGTTAGTCAGGACCTCGCAGTGCTATCGCAGACGTGCCAAGTGAGTGACAAAAAACAATTGCAGCTCCGACTACAATAGCGACGGCGAGCAGCACAATAGGCAAGACCAAGCGGCAGAAGCTCACGGCTCAGTTCGGGTCTGCCCGAGCTGAGTGTCCCGGAAAATTAGGATGTAGATGGGGCGCAAAGCGTGCAGACTGAATCGAAAGATCAGCGCGAAGATGTGTCTGCTTAGCACGGCCATACCAAAGTGGTATTGACTTGGTATTGGCTGATGAGCCTGCATGAGGTACGGCCGCGGCACGACATCGTTTCTCGAATTGATCACAATACGGGGGCCACCATCCCTGTCGACTCACGGTTGCAGATAATACCGACTCCATAATCAACCAGTTTCGCGGGCTTTCCTTCGCTTCCTACCAACAGTCTGCATTCCCTAGGGCTGCCGTGGAAATCCACGGCACTGCCACAGCATCTATGCGACGCTGTGCGCCTTCTACACCAAGTGTGGGTCTTTGCGCCCAGACATGGCTTTGAAAATTCCATGCGGATGGTGGGCTCCTTAGTGACAAAACTTCAAAACACATGGCGCCCTCCACCCCATCGCGTGGTGCAAATGCAAAGCTTGCTGCTGTGACTGTCCCAGGTGCGAGGACATGCCTTGTTAAGAGGCAGAGCGGCGCGTTGCGGCGAGGCCTAGGGTGAGAAGCCGCGAGAGCCTTTAAGGGGGCTTCCTGAGAAAACAGAGACAGCCGCTTTTCTGCTTGCAGTACTTGCTGTGCACTGTGCCCTCAGCTCGGAGATGGCAGAGGCACTCTTGAAGCGCCCAGGCGCCCAGGTTGCCGGCGCTGCTTCGGCTCGAGGGCCTTGTTTGCCTGGAGACCCGAGAAGCGCCTTTTCCGGAGCCCGGACAGCCGGTGAGCTGCCATCCGATGCGCTACCACATTGGCCAGCTTGTAGTCGTCCGCGACAGCGTGGAAGAGAACTGGCACTGTGCGAGGGTCTACCAAGTGACGCCGCAAGTTTTGGTGAAGAGACGGCCGCGAAGTACCCCATCAAAGTTCAACTTCGTCAAGCCTTTGGAGGCAAGACATGTACTGCAGTCAGCATCTGCTCACATGTTGCTCAACTCCACGTCTTTTTCGATAAGAGAAGAGGATTAGCATGACTTCGGAGTGGCTAGCATGCTCATGTGGTTGCAGTCGGCCTTCGCGACACGGTTGAGCAATGCTGTGAAAGGAAGGTTTCGGGGCACATTCATTGGAGAGTCTCGTGATCAGGCGAAACAGCGAATTGCAGTGCAGTGTGTTTGAAGCGCATTCTCTTGTTTGCAACTTTTGTATTGTGAGCAAATGTGATCTTCTGGAGTTTTTGGGCTTTTGAAAAACCGAAACGTATGTACTTGCCGTGGTTTCTGTTGCTGCGTTTTCGAAAGCCAGAGGCTTGTCGCGTGCAGGGTTTGGCTTGTGTCCTGTTAATTTTGTTCTTATCTCACGTACCTGGTCAGTTGTATGATCCACCCGCTACCACGATTTTTCGGCATCGTTTGCGATTGGAAAAGATGGCAGTTCTTGCAAGAGGTTGTTTCGCCATGGTCGGGATATTTGCTGTGTCTGGGAGGTGGGAGGCGATGTCGTCGGGGTTGCCGTTCTGGGTCGGGGGATGCCGGGGCCTTTTGGTTCTGTTTTGACGCTCTCCCTATTTACGTCCGACGGCAGGTCTTAGTGTTGATGCTCTTCTCTTTCGCACGAAGTGTAGCTTTACGAAGTTTGCAGTGAAGCCCAGGAGACGGAGCGATACTGCAGTGAACATAAGGTCATTCAAGAATGCCCAAATTAGGCTCGTCACGCTCGACGCTGTCACAGAGCCACTTCCCAATGTCAATCCAGTGATGAGTTGTGCAGTCCAAACGATGCCCTGCATCTCCCAGCAGCAGGGACGTGCGCACAGGCATGCCGTTCGCGCTCCCAGCTCACCAATACCTTCCCTGGTCAAGCCATGAACGGCAGGATTGGAATGGATTCGAACAGGGGGCACACAACAGTTGGACGGCATGAGAGGCTTCATGAAGATGTGGCGGGCAACGGTCGGACTTTTAAAGTCGTCGTCAGTCAGAAAGCTAGTTCTTGAATCTGGGAAGACTGGGAAGATGCTTTTGTGGCGTTTGCACGCACAACACCCTGCGCCCGAGGAGGGCGTACTCGTGAGCTCTTTGACGCTAAACGTGTTGAGTTGAGCCCATGGGTAGTTTCCATTATACATCTTCCCCTCCCCAAGAGATGCAACAGTGCTCACCCGCCACAACGCAAAAAGTGGCTTCGACCCATTGCTGCTGCGGATTCAGAACTTCAGCGTCTGACGTGTCGAGAACACATGCCCGCTCATTTTTTCAGCACCCCATCGTGAAACTCTGTGAATACCTCGAAAACAAAACGCCTGTCCCCTCGGCGCGGTGAGAAGCAGGGCAGGGAGACCTTGTTCGTGCTGTCGTTGTTATCGGATTGTCGGCGCGTCCCACTAGGGAGAGGGCATGACGGAAGGGAGTTCGACCTCGCGGGAGGCCATGGATGACACCGAACGACACAAAGTGCTTGCCTTGGAGCAGCAGCTACGGAACCGAGAGGACGTTGGCCCTGATCCACCTCCAATGGGTCTTTCCGCTGAGGAGCAAGGTGCCTATCCAGTCATTTCTGCAAGGGCAAACTCTGCTTTCCTCAACTTAATCCTACTCATTGGCAGCCTGAGCCCTGTGATCCTGAACAACCTGTGGCTGATGAGTGCCAACGCGGTGAATGCCGGGGATGGGCGCCAGCAGTTTTGGTGGCACGCCCTGGTTTTCGACAACTACTTCATGGTGGTCAAGGGCATGATGTTTGCCGCGTTCTTTTATGCCTTCCTGCCGCGACCAGCGAGAGGTGCTGTGGGAGCCTTCATAGTTGAGTGAAAAGGGGTCTTCTAGTCTATGTCGAAAGCCCAACGCGGCCCCGCATGCAGCCGCTGCATCCAGCCTGCCGGTGTGTGTGGCAGGCCATATCAAGCTTGTCTACATGCTTCTGGCGTTCATGTGGCCGCTGCTCTCTTTTGCCATCCATCTGCTCCGTGGCTGGAATTTCGAACATCTTCAGAGCATCTCAGCAGTAACCTGGTCCTAACACACTTTGGAGGTCTCCACCCACACGCAACACATTTCAGGCTTTGGCTCGGGATGGATTCTGTCGACGACTCGGGCAACTCATGGGGTCTCATGAAGCTCAACTTCCCCATCGGAGCATCGACAGCCGTGCTAACCTGGATGCCGGTGTGCCTTCATGTCGCCTGGCGGAGAACTCTTCATTTAATGGGCTCGATGCCGTGGACGATGGTGGAATCCAGACAGTTTCTGCATAATCAAACGAGTCGGGATATTTTGTTTCGGTTGTGTTGGCCAGAAAATAGTGCAGCTGAACGAAGACCTTTGCACTTCAGCCTGCTCCACAAGACGAACGGATCTTATGAATCTTATGCCAGCTCAAACCATCGACATGGCTGTAGCGAAGTGGCAGTGCTGGGGCTAGTCGCCTTCGCCGTGTGGGGAAGAAGGGCGGCGCAAAACCAGCTGCATCTCTAGATACAAGTACTATCTTCGGAAAGCTCAACGAAGCGGAAAGACTGTACAGCCTAATTGCTGAATTCTTGTTGCGTTGCTTTTGCTTATTTCTGCTGTTCTGCTTTGGGAGCCAGGCTTGCACCCACTAAACAACAAGATGCAGAAGATGTGGTTGCAGAAGCAGACTCGCTAAATCAGCAAAGCCTCCGCGTTGTACAGCGCCGTTAATGAAGTTAGCTGGCTACCGTGCAGGCGCAGGCACCATTTTTGTGAAACCAGGTTGGCTGCATGAATTGCCGCATGGGACCTTGACTCGCTGCATGAAACCGTCAAAGTGGCTCTCACAGGTACAGTATGCGCGAGATGAACGATTCTTTGCCTTGAAGCGATTCGTGGTCATCGTTGTCATCCTCGTTGCAGACCTTATCTTTATAAGCTCTTCCCACCTTGTCCTGCTCCTCTTCAAGTCATTCAAAGATGGAAACTTTGGTCTCATGGAGTCGGGCGTGGAAGGTTTGGTGGAGCTGCTCTTCTTGCTTGGCTTCACACAAGGCAGGCTGGCAGAAACTAGCTTCGTAATCTAGGGCATGGCCTTTACGACAAACGGCATGTGGGAGGTTGCCAGCAGCACTTAGTGTTCTGAGCTACTGCGAGCCTACTACTCGAACTGCTTGTGCTACGACGACCACGGCAACAGTGCTCCGCTGCAATGGAAATGCCCAAGCCGCACGCGCCATGAATGTCGGTGTTCACCGTGTTGTCCGTTGTCACCGCGGAAAGCCTTGCTTTTGCTGGCATTTGTCCTTTGCGATCTTGTCTTTCTGCACTTGCCGGAACATCGGTACTTACTGTTTTGCTTGCTTTCTGAGTCTAAAGTGCATTGCTTTGCACAGGCGCAGACATACCGATGACTGCAACTACAGCAGCAGTAATTAGCAGCAGCAACTACAAGAACGACCACAATGACCACAACAACAACGGCAGCAACAGCAACAACAACAACACCAACTCGCAGCTGCAGCTTGGGCTACAGCTACAGAACAACATCATTATCATCAACATCAACAGCAGCAACAGCAACACCGACGACGACGATGACAACAACAACAACAGCAGCAGCAAAAGGAGCAGCAACAACAACTGCAAGGACGACGACCGCGACTAGGACGACGACGGCGGCTGCTCCTGCTGCTGCTGCTGCAGCTGCTGCTGCTACTTACTTGAGCACCCCCATCGCTGCAAACGTCACGCGTGCCGTGCTCAGGGTTCCGTGCTTGCTGCGATAATGCATTCACCCCCAACGGCCCTGTGCCCTGTCAGTTTATATGCCATTTCTGGGCAAAGTTTGGCAAATTGGGCTCCTGCTTTTCGACACTTTGGCCCCGATGGATGACTTACAAAGGCAACGCATGCTGTATTTCGCCACAGTGATCTTGGACATGCACCGCTATATGTACGTCCGGGAAATGATGTACATGACAGGGAGCCTCCCAGTCGTGGTTTTCATGGTCGTTAAGGACTTCCTTTACGACGTGTACCATTTTGGTATCTCCTCTTCACCGGCCCTGCAGTCCGTGATGCTTATGGGCATCCCCAAATGGAAGCTCTTGCTGGGCACCAGTGAGGCAGGAATCCTCCACCTCCCCCGCTTTTTCGCTTTTGTTCTTGCTTGTAGAAGTGGGCCTTGATCCTGCACAGAGGCTCGGGCGGCGACGTCACGATGCTACGAGGCTCTCGTGGTCGTCATCGGCGTCTGTGCTGACTTCTTAGAGCTCCCCAAACGGGCGACGTGTGTTTTCACCTGGACCATCGATTGTGGATATCCCGAGAAGACAACCACCGCCAACTTCTGTTTCGCAGAGACCCGCGTGAAGCTCGTGAATGTGCCTACAGAGTTCGGGTCCAGATTCAGGGATTGGGCCATGAAGATGGCCAAAGAGCGAAAGCAAAACCTGTCCATCCTGACACATACCGAGAAGTCTTCCTTTGACACTACCCTTGCCCGTGATGCCGTCGAGAAGAGCAACGGTGAATGGCGATCGGTTTGGCATGGTTTCCAGGATCCTGGTCGCTTCAGCTTTTACCAGTTCATGACGGTGCAGCTGGGGGGGATCATGTTCTGCCGATACCGAGCCCGCATCATCATCAAGATCGCTAGCAGTTTGATGCTCCTGGCCGCCGGCACCTTGATCCGATTGACACCGTCAAAGGAGGTTCTGAACCGAGTCCATGACCACACCAAGCCGCGCGAGTTGATTGAATGGATCGTTCCAGCCAGCATGTGCGCGGGGAGGGGGGGGGGACAGATGCAAACGTGGGGGCAAAGATAAGCCATCTGTTTCTTGTGAAGAACACGTGTCTGAGTCTGCCCATGTTTGCGAGGCTGTTCTGTGACATCTGCGAGCTGATTCTGGTTCAATGTTTGCAAGATGGGGACATGGCGTCCATGGACTACAAGCTGAAGCGATTTGCCCGTCTCTTCAGCGACCCTGTCTTCGTGGGGATGGTCATGAGTTGTCATGTTTGCTGCAACAGCGACTTGTACATCACTTTCGCTGAGCTAAAATTCGGTGCCTAGCCTTGCTGCTGCGCATGCATGACGCATGCATTGCGCCACTGTGATGGCCCCTCACTGATGTGAGGTGCTTGATCATGTGCTGTTCCACATTTTTTGAATCTTCTAGGGTAATCGGCAAACCAACACGGACCCGATATGCCGAAGACTTCAACAAGTTCCGTCGCAGGGAACCGATGCTTCCCTGCTTATGAGCCCGGTCGAAGACCAAGGGCGCATGCTTCTAAGAGTAGGCGGATCTGGAAGGAGTGGTTGGACTTGGATCACTTCCTGGGTTCCCGGAATGTTCCACAGCCCCACAGCCAAGGAAAGAGCGCATGCTGATTTCACATACAGTCACTTCCATGCAAGGGTTGTGCCACGGTTGTGCCACTGGCATGTTTGGATGAAGCAGTGTCAGCAAGAAGCATGCCAAGCTTCAGCTGCTTGCATGCGAGGCTTCCTGGGCACCTCCCTTTCTCTTGAGTGCTGGTATGCTCTCTAGACTCTAGCCCTCCATCTCTCTCGCTCTCTCTCTCTCTCTCCCCCCTGCCGCTCGATGTCATATCTGCATACATACATACATACATACATATATATATATATGTGCATACATATGCAGACTAGAGCTATATAATGGAATGGAAGCATGCATGTATATGTGTTTATTCGAGAGCCATGTAATGTAATGTTATGCAATGCTATGTTATGTTGTGTTATGTATGTAATGACACCTCTCCGGCTAAGACCCACGCACACACACACACACACTGGTGCAATCCTCCCTCTCTGGATCGACTTTTTCATTATACTTTCTCTGCAGAGGCGAAGATGTTAAGCCACATCGGCGATAAACGATTGAAAGCAGATCTCTGCACCAGCTATGATTGTGTCTCGCTTGAATACGTAGCTCGGCGCAGGGCTCCGCTGCTTTTCTGCGTGAGCCGGGAGCTTCCAAGAGACCCAGAGTGGGGAGACTCCGAAGTCTTAGACTCTACCCTGAAACACTTAGTTTTCGGACTTTCAAAGTTGCGTTGGAGCTGTCAGAGCTATTGAACCACCTGCGGATCCACGAAACGGGGCACTTGGGGCAGGTCGAATATAACTTTCTGATTTGAAAGACTATTTTGGTAGAGTGCTCTCAATCCTGTGTTTGGGCCAGGGGCAACTCAAGTGTCGAACTGCACAAGACGAGTTATGTAAGCAAAACTGGCATCATGTCCGACATACACAGATACTGGCAGGCTACTAATGGGCGAAAACACGCACAAAGAAACGTCGATACCTTCCTGACGATCCCGCAATGGCTGCGGCTGTGGCAAGTTCGTTTGCTGCGAGGTGCTGCAGTTTCGCAGAATGCGGCCTGTATGGGCAAGGAGCACCATGACCGCCACGACCAGCACAGACTCTACGATGGTGCGATCCGGGCGTGTCGTCACACGAGGGCTTGGCGCCAAGCATTGTTCCAAATCAGGAAGGCTGGCCGCAACTTGGTGAGGCTTGATGCCGGCAGCTCAGCTTGTTTTTCCGAGGAATGTTTAGCTCGAAGTGTTTGCGACAATCGTAATTTGCAAGCAGACAGAATGACAAGGCTGTGTGGCTGAAGACCGTGGCTGCGTGCCCAATCGACTGGCAGCGTAGTCTTTCCGTCCTGGGTTTTCCTGAGCCATTGCGGGACCAGGCAGGGGCATGTCTGCAAGGAGTGCGAGTTGATGGCTGTCGGTTTTGACCGCCATCATGGTTCACAAGTCCAGCACTATAGGTCGGTTGTGGTTGATCTGCTCACTCCGGGCACGGGCTCGTCATCCCTAATGAGCTTTAGCACTGTTGCACGTCAGGTCTCCGCAAACGTTCGGATTGCAGCATCGGCTCGCGGACGCAACTGGTCCAGCGCCCTGCGCATTTTGCAAGAGATGCAGTGTTTGCGGCTGTTGCCAGATGCTTACAGCCGCAACAGTGCTCTAGATGCTTGCAAGGCATCCGTGCCTGGGCATACGTCCGCAGTCTTCCGTTGTTGGGCAGTAGCTGGCATACTGTAGGATGTGGTCTGCGATGCACGAGTGCCTAGGAAGGATGCTGGGCAGTGACAACCGACTTGCTGCGATTTCAAGATGCCACGATAGCAACAGATGTCGTCGGCTGCAGCGCGGCTGTGACATCCATGGCTAGTTCCATTCAGTGGGGCTTTGCCTCGGCCTTGCTCGAAACATCGATGTCTCACGCTGTGCGACCGAACATCCCATGCTTCTCTGCCTTGCTGACGGCCTACGAACGTAGCAGTGCCTGGTGTCGAGCGCTGGCCTCCTTTGCGGATGCCGATGCGATTACATCAGGCACTCTGACGAGCACGCTGGGAAAGGCGTCGGAGTGGCAGCGTGCGGCGGCACATATTTGTGGGATGCTGCCGCAAGCACTCGTGCCTGATCCCATATGCTTTGCCACGGTCATGAGTGCATTCAAAGAGGGCAGGCAGTGGAGCCGCTCGCAGGACACCCTGAATGTGCTGCGTTTGCAGATGGCCCCAACAGCCCCAAGCAACGTCTACCACTTGCTAGTGAGTGCTTTGCGGGATCAATGGATGCGCGCTTTGCATTGGGTGCTTGAGATGGGGACGGAAGGCGTCCGGTCTCACCTACCATGTCGGAACGCCGTCATCAGCGTTTGCGATGCAGCTTCCAAGTGGAAGAAGGCCCAAAACGGCTTGAGAATGAGTGATTTTGTTCAGAAAGATTCTCTTGATCGCAGCAGCTTTTTTTTGGCTTGGCAGGCTAGTCACATGCTGCGGGTACTTCCGGTCGCCAGTCTCGAGCTTGACATCATCGGGGCCAATGCTGCTGTGGGAGCTTGCCGTGAATCCTGGGAGCACGCAGCCCAGCTCTGCCTTCAGCACCGGCAGGCGGGCATTCGTGTAGCCTCTTGGGTGCATGAAGTGCCGCTTGCAGAGGTCTGGTTTGTTACACTGTTTGGAGTAAATGACATATTTCGTGTTGCTGGCATTGCTTGCTCACTTCACGCCAGGATTCGATCAGCTTTGCCAGCCTGGCAGCGGCGCTTAGGCCAGCGTGGAGTACAGCGGTAGATCTCTTAAGGTCCGCACGCCCAGTGCTGACGGAGATCATCCTAAACCTTGTCATAAGCACGGGGCAGCAGTCAGAGTTCGTTGCTTGGGCTCAATCCACGCTGCTGCTGCATGAGTTCCCATCCAAGCGCTTGCGTCGCAATGTCATCAGCTTCAATGCAGCGATTGGCTGCGCAGGCAAGTGGCAGGTGTCTTTCCGTTTGCTGGACCTCTTGAAAAAATCATCGACCTCATTCACCATGGTCTCCTTTGGCGCTGTGGTCAGCGCATGTGAGAAGGGGGCGGTCTGGGAAGCGGCGCTGGATCTGTTGCAAGGGAGTCGCGCGCATGCGTGGGTCAGTATCAGTGACAAAACCTGCAATGCTGCTATCAGCGCATGCGAGAAGCGGGGTCTGTGGCGAACAGGTCTCGCTCTCCTTCGAGGCATGGATCACTTTGATCTGGCCAATGACATCAGCTTCAATGCTGTGCTTGGAGCATGCCATCGCTGTATCCTCCACTCGCACCTTGGCTTGGCTTCTGGCACGAGTGTTTCCAGCATCTTTGACCCGGCAGCTTCAAAAATCAAGACTCTCGCCCCTTTGCAGAAACCATGACATGACCACACTTTGCAACAGAAGTGTGACGCTTGTTTGCCCCGACCTGAGTACTCACACGTGGTTAGTGTAGTAATTAGTTACTTGGTATTGTTTGCGTGTGGGCTCGTAGTAGCTGAACTGTGAGCAACCTTCTGCTACGATGCTCGCGGTCATGTCTAATGAAAGGCAACAAACAACCATTCGGCAGTCTATGCCCAGCATCAGTAGCAGTAGCAGAATCATACGTGTGATGGCTTTTCGAGTCGGTGGAGTACTACATCGCGACGAGCATCGCCGTTCCTGCGGTTCTTGCTTCCCAGTATAATCGCCAGCAGATATGGCTCGTATCACGCCGAGTATTACCAGACTAGAAATGACCGGGCATGATCTTTCCGACTTTTTGGTTGCGACCGTTGTCGCTGCCACGTTCGTGCGTAGTTTTGTATGCTGCGTTGCATGTCAAGGGAAGTGGGTTGGTTCCGGCTGCGCAGCGGGCAGTTCCACGGCCCCGCTTTGGACTTGAAGCCGTGGCGCAGCACATTTTGCATTACACCACGCAAGACAACCTTCAGCCACGTCCAGGACCAGAATCGCACATTGCACATCAGATGCATTGAAATGAGAGGAATGCTGACCTCTGTGGTGAATTGGGGCTTACACTCGAGATGCATGGAATACAGCTGATTCGGTTGTCATGGAACTCTTGCAGCATTCGTTGCATTGCAGCGTGGGTGGTTTGTGGCCTGAGCAGTGTAAACACTAGATGCGCCATGTATTCTGAAATGCAGTCATCGGCTGAGCCAAGCTATTCCGGGTCACGTGTCGCAGGCACATGAGATGACATGAGGATGATGCTCACTGCGATCCAAATCTTAGTTGTCTCTCTCTGCTACTATGCTATCTGATTCTTTGGCTAGCACTCATTCTCAGCACGTGCTCCGTCAAACATGAGCAATGTGCGAACTTTTGTATTTCTCTGTGAGGCCTTGGCACGCATCTCCGCCACAAGCTCAACAGATCCCGGCATAGCGGCGAGCATGCTGCGACAGATCTGGTGCTGCAGCAATAAGTTCTGTTCTTTTCGGAACCATCTTAGAGGCCACCCTGCTCCGGCATGCTCATCTCCGGCACCCCATGCTGGGTAATGTGCCGGACGAGGGCGGTTTAGGGCCAATCGACTTGGTCGGAAAGGACATGGCTGAAGCCACGGAGGTTGTGCAGTTCATCCCTGTCCAGCTTGGACCACCGGCGGGAACTTCCTGGTGTGACTGTTTGCGCGATATTGCGCACGGAGCGGAGAACCGATTCGGGCAGCGCATGTGTAGATGTTTAGGCTTGAAGACCAAGCAAATCGGAGCGCATGGGTG